ATTCTGTTTTGTCACATTTGGTTTTCGTCTCTTCAAAAAAAATAGTAAGAACTATGGGAGTAATAAAACCCAAAATGTGTAATTTTGTAAAAAAGAGAGGAAAAGAAAGTGCTCTAAAGGATATAATTGCATGTATATTTAAGTGTATAAGATAGATAACCATATTACTGAGTTTTGTTGGGTCATTGAACAGAACTGTTTGCAGTCTCACTGTTTGAATGTCCACTTATATGCTTTAATGTTGTAACTTGAAGAACTATTTCTAAGATATCAATATGTAATCTACTAACTAGTGATTTCCTATTGTTTATTTTTTCTGAAATTCTGTATAACTTGTATCCTTTTTCTGTTTTTTTTTTTCTCCTTAAATAAAATTTTAAAAAAATTAATGGGAGAAATAAGATGTTTCCAAGATGAGGAACTGTGGGAGTTCATGGCCACCAACCCAACCCTACAGAGAGTGCTGAAGGACATTCCAGAGAGACAGGAAGGGATACCAGGATTCCAGCAACAGTGGCAGAGAGGCCTCAATGAATGGGGCAGACAGTGGAATGAGGGAGTAAGGTGGACAAATTATAGCAGTAAAGGAAAGGCCTGTATTCAAATGCGTATGTTTCTAAGAACTATCAAACAGCTTAAAAGCAGACATGAGGCAGAGACGGTAAGCTATAATCTTTAATACAGATAGCCTTGATACACTAAAATAAAAAAACAAAAAAACAGACAAGAGTAGATAGGAGACAGGCTCGTAAAGATGCTCTGAATGGGAAATACACTCAACCCAAAGGAGGGTTAATAAACTGAAAATCAAAGATGAGAAAGCAAAGCTGTATGTGACAGGAGACCAGAGAGAAATAGGGACAACTCATCCAGCAGCCTCATATAGATTGGGAAGCTATAACACTTTTGGGCAGTGTAGAACTACACAGCTGGAAGGAAGGAAAACCTTATGACTTTAGTGAGTAAAGGAGTACAGCTCAAGATCAAGTTCAAGGGTAGAAAGGTTCAGCAACACTCAGATAGATAATGAGCTGGCCCCCTAATCTAAAAACTAAAGGGGCTAGTGAGACCCAAAACATACAAAGCATCCTGAGAAGGGGGAAGGTGAAAAATAGCCTGAAAAGGAAAGGTAGATGTCACTGTTAATAGTGTATCAGGATTTAAAAGTCACAGTAGTCTTATTGTTCTGTTTAGTTTGAATTTATTTTGTTCCAGTCTGTCTACTCACATTAGATTTGAGGACACAGATATCTGACCCAAAAATAGCAGGTTATACTATGGTTACTATCCTTAATTTCCTATTAACTTAAACTGAAACCCTGTATTACTTACATTGTCTTACTATGACTGATCTTTGAATCTGGTTTGTTAGACCACAATTTTGCCTTGGCTGACTTTATTCGAATTTGGTATGCTTCATAGTATCACTTCTGAAAGTAGAGCCAACTACTCTGAAGATGACAAGATGTAAAAGATATCCATACCGGTTTTGATTATTAACTGCTCTCAAGTCCTACCATGTTTTCAAAGTTGTGTTTTTATAAAAATAGCTATGGAATACTATGTGTAAATATATTAAGCCTGATGATGTGGACAAGTCTATTGAAAATAACAAGAGAAAGCATAGTAATTACGGTAGATCATCTAATATTGTGGTCTTATGTGTCTTTTTCATTGCATGTTTTTCTAGGAATTTGTTTTGCTGTCTTATTATGATCTGTTTTTCCCTATAATACAGAGAGGGTAGATACACATGTAGAAATTCACACATGGGAACAATTTTTTAAACTATTTACGGGAACAGATTACATAACGCAAGATGTAATGAACAGATGCTCTGAAGAAGAGACTAAGAAACCCAATGCTAATTCTGCAGCATTACGATACAAAATCTAGCAATACTATTATTCACTGTTCAGAGTGATATTAGTCTAGTCTCAAGTTCAATTTCAGCATATGTAAAGATAAGGACAGCTACTACGAAGAGAACGAGAGACACTGTCGTAGTCATTATGGACTTACCCAATGTCAGATCCTGAAAACCTAAAAAGCCTTCATCATCCTGTAATGATTTGATTAGTTCTGTAATATGCAGTATGTATTCAATGTGTACGAAGATGGGGACAAATATTTGGAAGAAAACTAGAGACAATAAGATAGACAATGAGATCTCCAGTATCTATTAAACATTCTTCCTAAGCAAAAATTGCACTAGGCACTGGTCTTTACAAAACTTGGCAGTCTGAAAGGAACTTGAAGCTCAAGACCAAGTATAATAACATTCCTTGAATTTGCTGTACAACAGTGCCACCAGGTGGCTTATGTAACCTGTGTTCAGACATCTCAATAACTTTAGATGCTAGTCTACCATTAGTTTATAATCTGACACTCATTTTCAGCACTGCAGGTATCAGACATGGTATTTCCTATCAAGAAGATGAAAGTGGGCCAGGGATTTAGCTCAGTGGTACAGAGCCTGCCTGGCAAGTGTGTAGTCCTGAGTTTGATTCCCAGAATCCAAAAAGGAGATGAATGTAATCAATACTAAACAAAATGTACCAATTGCAATTTAATTCATAGTTAATACCTGAATACTAATTGAATTAATGATTTGAGTAATATCAGAGCATTCTAGAAGCTGAAGTAACTGAAAATGTGATTTATATAATTTTTCAGTATCACAGAGTGATAACAGATCATATAGTAAGATTTACTCTGAAAGAACAAAGAGAAAATTCAATGCTCTTTCTATTTGGGTCTACTGGGGGAAAAAGGGGTTACTTTAGTACTAAATAAGCTTCAGTGGATTTTCTCACGCAGTCAAGCCACTAAAATCACAAGGCATTTGCAAGGAGCATTATATTCCTTTTATACTGCACTTATACAAGAATAGCTAACTATAAAAGAAAAGTTAAAGATACAGTACTAGAGTTTTGAATTTTGCATTATGACAAATAGGCAATAATTAGTTCATTTAGAAAAAAGGAAGTATCCTCTATTAATCCTACCGGATTTCTATTTCCTGATATACAGTGTAGCTGATAAGTTCTCCCTGCAAGTTGTTTACTACATGGTTCAAATCTCAGCTATGTTAGAATTTCCCTGGAAGATGTTCTACATAAATTAATCTATGTAATTCATGTCTGCCCATTATACAACAAATCATATATTTTAACACATTTCATAGACATTTTGCTAACTTGCTTCCCAACTTTCTTAGAAAAAAATCATAACTTAGTTTAACCCTTTTCTACAGAGCAGTTACAGAATTAGCATGAATTCCACTGAGGTCCTGATAAACCCTGACCTTATGTTGTCTCACCTCTGCTTCATGTCATCAGTGTTCTTACTGACGGCTACTCAGGTCTTTTTCTCTTCCTCTCCACTCCCCTGCAGCTGGTTTTCAAATGATTATAATCACCATACTACTCTTTTAGAAGGCAGCCTTGACCAATTTATACAACACAGTTCCCATCCTTTTTTCCTTAGGATCTGGAATCAACCCACTAGTTCTAGCTTTTCTGTACTTTATATGACATTATTCTCTCACCAAATAATGTGTATTTTTCATACTGCTTGTGATATAAGGTTAGAAATAAAGAAAATCAACAATACTAGTGTATACTAGTGTGTTCTAATATAACAGGAAGTCTAACAGTGTATTTGATTGTGATTATATGAAAATAATGTGTTAAGAATACATTTGTGTAAATGCCAGTGAACATGTGACTCTGAGTTTATACTTCTGAGGGTATCAAGAAGAGTCACAATCCAAAGATATAGCCAGCTGTGGTGGTGCATGCCTACAATCCAGTACTCTGGAAGGCTGAGACAAAAAAAGTCACAAGTGTAAGCTCAGCCTAGGCAATTAAATGACGGAGAGACCCTGCCTCAAAATAAAAATTAAAAAGTTTGCAAAGACCCTGGGGTCAATCCTCAGTAACATAAAACAAAACATAACAAAACAACACTCTTAACTCATAGTACAATGATATAACTTTGAGAGTAATGCAAGAGGACTTTGAAAAGCACTGAGAATTACCAAAAGCGTCAGAAATACTAGAAACCCACTGCACATAATTAAAATTACAGAAAATCTAATTTTCAGTCTCTTTACACATATTCTGACAAATCATGAAATTAATTATCCATTTTTTTCAAATTGTTAAGTATTAATAACATCCTATAGTTTAAAAAAAAAAAAAAAAACCTGCTTAAAGAATTCTGAGCACAAATTTTGTCTACCAAAGAAGTTGCTGGCTTAAGTTTTATAAAAACTATTTTAAAACATCAAAGATTAGGTGACTACATAATAGATAACAATCCTCTTGGTTTTGACAGATTCTCATTGCTTTGAGTTAATTTTATAAGGAAAAAGAAATGTGAGATGGTATCTGAGTAAGAAACACATTTGACTTCCAAGTTTTCCTAGGAGAGATGAATACAAAAAAAATACTTAAAAGACTGGCCTTAAAAAAATAAATAAATAAAATAAATAAAAAAGATTGGCCCTATTAATCTATGAGACGTAAATAAATTAACACTTTATTTCTGGTAATGTCAAAAACTATTGATTTAAAAGAAAGCAATTTATTTTTTAAAGAAGAAGGTAAATAAGGACAAAGTATCTCTAGGGGAGAAAAGGCTATCTTCAAAAGTTTACTGATTTTGTCTTCCTCCCACATACAGTGTCAAACTACTAAGGTAGCGTATCTCCAAAGTCTTGCAACTGAGACTGTATGCATAACACAAATTCTCAAATTAAAACTATTCAAAAATCTGTCTAGTGGCATCTGCAACTAACTATGTATTACTAACGTATAACCGGTTATTCCAGTAGCTTAAAAAAAAAATCATGAGATAAAACATGCACTCTTTCCTCTTTAGATCTTGGATCAAATAAGTTATTCTGTTCACCTCTGTAAAATGGAGTGAGCTGGGACACTGTGAAAAATTATTATTGGTGAATGCTATACAAAACTTAAGTGTTTGGTCCATACCTTGTTTTAACTCCAAACCTTCAGGTTGCTTGTTCTCTCTCAAAGATGATGCAGAATCTATACAGGAGTCTTGTCTAAAGAATGAAAATAAATAAAAACAATTTTAAAAACTATATCCAGCCAAATATTTACTGCCTACATTCTCAGAATTAAATCAGGTACTTGGGAAGACACAGTGAACTCTCCTGAGCTCCAGGGTACCATTTGTGTACTCAGAAGACTCAGAAACATGTGTACGAATAACAGAGTAAACAACAGACTGCTACCCACTTAAGCTGTACATTTCCTTATAAAATCAAGGGCCAAACCTGGAAGGAATATGAAGGTAATTTTTTCCTGCTTCCAGTACTCTGCAGGATAGTTGATGAGAGAAATCACAGTTCTCAGCAGTATCCAATAATATTTCAAGTTCTACTGTTAAATTTAATGGGCATTTTGCACTCAAATTACTTTATATTCATATAATTTCATACCTCAAATGCTTTGATGTCTACAGTCTGTGGAAAATACATATTTTATATGTAATATACATATGTAATCAAAGTAAAGAGATCAAATGTAAGATAATGAAAAAAATTTCATGATCTCTGCAAAAGAGCTACAAACTAAACTCATGCTTTGATATTGATGCTAAAAATACTTTAAAGCAAAAAAACTCAGTAAAGTAATTGTAAATATTCAAATGAAAAGAGACTATTTTCTTCAAAAGAGGTACCTATTGCCTTGTAAGAATTTTTATAAACACCCTCAACAATAAATATTTAAGCAATTTTCCTGCCCACAAAACTACATAGTTTTAATCCAGTTAATACTAATAAATCCCTCAAATAAACTAAGGATTAAAAGAAAATTTGTGATAAGAACTAAGGAATAATAAAACCCAAAATGTGTAAATTCTGTTGTAAAAAAGAGAGGGAAAAAAGTGCTCTAAAGGATACAACTGCAAGTGTGTTTAGGGGTGTTAAATAGCTGACCACATTAATGTTTTTCGTTGGATCATTGAACACAACTGTTTGCAGTCTCTCTGTTTGAATGTTCACTTTGTATGCTTTGATACTGTGACTTGAGCAACTATCTCTAAGATGATAATGTGTAATCTATTAACTGGTGATTTCTTACTTTTTTTTTTTTTTTGTAGTTCTGTATTACTTGTACCCTTACACCGCTTTGTTTTGTTTTTTCTCTTTTTCCTTTTAAATAAAATTTAAAAAAAAAGAAAATTTGTGATCATTTTCTATTAAAGTTTACTTATCATTATTTCCAGTTAACATATTGGAGGATGTATATGTTTATTCTATATTAAAATGTGTAAGTTTATTTTATATTATAGCACAAAACAAGGATTATGAAATCATTTGACTTTGGTATTAAGACATCTAAGAGATTTACAGTTAGCACGTCTCCATTTCTTTATACTTTTCTGTTATCCAGTGTCACCCACTCAGATATTATCCTTTCAACCAAAGGACTGGCAAATCCCAAGGAAGACATCAACCATTCTCCTTGACAATCCAGGAGCAGAATTAGAGAACTCTGCAAGCAATAAGGATAAAATGTGCTACCTCCAACCTGCTGATTTTTTACCAACTTGGGATATTAATTAGTATCACCATTTAAAGAAAATGCTCACTTCTATATATCCTCCACTGGCACATAATGCTTGTCTACATACATGCGTCTAAATTTTCCTCAAGAAGTACTGAAATATAACATGGTACCCAATTAATGTGTATAATTTTTGAGTTTTTTTGTATCAGTTAAAAATAAATTTAATTAAAATAAATTTATAAAACATCACTTCAACAACATATTACATCACCGATAAAAGCTGGACCTATGTAATACTCTAAGGAAGGCACAAATGCATCTACTAAGCATACTGACTGACAATGAAAGCTATATTATGAGGAACTATCAGACAAATTCAAATGGAAATGGGCAACGCTCTAGCTAGTGGAGGTCAGTGTCAATGTTATGAAAGAAAGAAGGCACTGGGATATAGCTCAGTGGTAGAATACTTGCTTAATCTGTGCAGGGCCAACTTTGATCCTCAAAATAAAATTTTTAAAAATGCCAAAACACTAATGGCTGTGGAAATGTCCCAGATTTAAAAAAAAAAAATTTCCCAGATTAAAGGAGTTACAAGTGAAATCATAACCACTGAGTTGGAGGGGAAAATGGTATAAAGGACATTGATGAATTAAAAGACTGAAATAAATACAGTAGATAAAAGTATTTTATCAATGGTAAATATTAAGTTAATATTTATGGTTACACCACAGAATATTGCCACCCTTTGGAAAAACACAAAGAAGCATTCGGGTGCAAAATGACACAACGTATGCAACTCAGCCTCATATACATGTATACGTAAAAAGATGTGCAAATGGGATAAAAGGTTAGTAATAGGCAAATCTAGATAAAGGCTATTCATGCAACATTGTAATAAGTATACAACTATTTCCAAATACAATTAGGTAATACTAATGTAATAAAATCTGGTCCAGGCCTCTTAAAAACCCTTCAAATAATATTAGACTCTATAAAAAAAACCATCTGCTGTCAAAATAATTGATATGCATAACCAATGTGAATCTATATAAAATTCTATTATCTTAAGTTTGGTCTGATCAAGCTATGAAAGTTACCAAATTGCAAGTGCATGTGCTGCTGAAGCAAAAGCACCGAACAAAATTTCAGACAGTAGATACAGTGTACCACCTTGTGGCAGAAAAGTGCAAAGCTAGATGCTTTCATATCCATGTTATTTGAAATAAGACAAAAACAACCAGCAATCATTTTTAATCCCTTAAAGTTTAAAAATCAATATTGGTTTATTTTTCTAAGATACAGGCTTTCCAAATAAAACAATCACATAGGTCCAAAGCTCTCTAACCTACAGATCTCCATTATACAGCATAGAAGCCAAGACATTTACAAAAAAGGTAATATCTTAAAAGTGTAAGAAAACAACATATATACGCCGTTTTATTTCTAGCTTTAAGAAAATAAAAGTTTGTTCTTAGATGTTAAAATATAGTAGAATTAAGATAACTAAAACAGTTATAATTTATATTTAAATATTTCTATCAGTACTTTAAAACTAATAACTTTATAGCAAATAACCAGTGAAAGAGGAGTAAGGAACAGGGAAAGAAAAGATTGCCAGTATTCTTTAAAGCCACATGATCTTGAATTAGAAGGAAAACAACTATTTCTATATTTATTCCTAAATTTAAGTTCTCAAACCAACATTAGTCCAACTTTTTCTTTTACTCAAAAACAGTTATCTACTCTTTCTTTTTTTTTGTTTATTTGTTGTTGTTTTGTGATACAAGATTTCACTATGTAGTTCAGACTAGCCTTGAACTCACTTTATAGCCCAGGCTGACCTCGGCTTATAGCAGTCCCCTGCCTCAGCCTCCAAAGTGCTGGGATTACAGGTATGTGCCACCACAGCTGGCCTTCCACTCTCTTTTCTTATAACTGCATGTTTGTTTGTTTTAAATCAAGTGATACACTGGGAAACCTGTGAACCTGAACAATCCCATATACCAAGTGAGGTACCTTTAATCCACGTTACTCAGGAGGCTAAGAGAAGAGGAACATAGATTAAGCATAGCTTGAACAACTGATCAGACTGTCTCAAAATAAAAAATAAAAGAAGCTTGGAAATGTAGTGTTGTGGTAAGGAGCTCCTGGACTGAATTCCCAGGAACTGCAAAAAAGAACATTCAGAATTGGGACTTAAACTTTCTAAATGCGGGATATTAGAGCTTATGTCTAGATGTCCCCCAAAAGCCACAAGCAGTCACTGTTGGGGCTTTTCAGAGGTAGCTGGATCTAGGTACCTGGCTAGGATTAAACACATGATGCTGGGATCAAGGTATGTAATTACACTAGTCCATGGATTGGTTTATCGAAGTGCGGGGCATGAGCGCTACCTACCCTAAAGGCATGTAGCCTGGATACAATGTAAAGGGACAGAAAGAATCTGTCACTTGCTGCTGCTGCTGCTGCTTTGTCGCCTTCTGCCCGCCAAGAACTGCTTCCACTCGGTAATGCCTCTCTGCCGTGCAGCCCTGTCTTAGACTCAGCCAACTATGGCCTGAAACCTCTGCAAACTCAGAGCTAAATAAATCTTTCCTCCCTTAACTTGTGAGTGTGGAGTATTTTGTCTTGGCAACAAGAAAAGTAACCCAAGACAAGGGAGGAGGGCCTATTTATTGTTCAAACTTAACACTGAAGGAAAGAATCCCAACGAAAGTATAAAGAGACCAAGCTAGTCTGATTTTTCTCATTTTGGCAAAAGTCCAATGACAAAGAATCAAGGAACTGGCATAATAAAAGGTATGATCCTAGATTCTCTCCACACATGAGAATGAAAAAATAAGAAGCCAATCAGTCTATCTTTCAACTATTAAAAATAATATACAGGCTGTTTATGGTGGCACATGCCTATAATCCCAGCTAAACAGAATCTAAGGGGAGAGGATCCCAAGGCCAGCCTGGGCACTGTAACAAGACTCAGTCAAAATAAAATAAGAGTATAGAGTGCAGTAAAATGAAATAACAGAAAACAACTAGAATAGAATGCAATAAAGGGGCTGGGGATGCAGCTCAGTGATGGAGTACTTATCTGGCATGTGATAGGCCCTGAGATTACTGCCCAAAACATTTGATCCACCAATTCTAGTTATTTATCTTTCATATACATTCACAAAAAGATCAAGATTTTACATATACAGGTATATAGCTAGTGAGAGAGAGAGAGAGAGATTATACTAACAATAGTTAAAAATTTATAAAGTTCATTAACAGACTCTTCATGTTCGCTACCTGAAACAATGGATTAGTATATATAAGAAGCCTCACGCAAAGGAATAAGGAAAAAGTTAATTAGAACTTGGTATGCTACCGTTTGCATGAGAAAATACACATACACATGTAAATGTATAAATGTGTGGAGTATTTCTGGAAGGACACATGTTTATTGAGGTTGACCACAGAAAAAAAGGCGGAAAACCACAAAAGGAGAGCCACTATGTCCTACCAAAAACTTTTATATCATGTG